TTTCTTTTAAACCGTATATCAAATCTATTGCAAAATTAGCATCTGCTAAGGTTGCATCTCTTTATCGAGCTCGACACTTTCTTACTCCAGATTCTATTCTCTATCTCTATAAATCTCAAATCCGTCCCTGTATGGAATACTGTTGCCACATCTGGGGCGGATCTTCTAATGATGCTCTTTCTCTTTTAGACAAGGTGCGAAAACGAATTGTAAACATAGTTGGACCTGCTCTGGCAGCCAATCTCCAACCTTTGTCACATCGTCGTAATGTTGCTTCTCTTTCTCTTTTCTACAAATACTATAATGGGCACTGCTCTAAAGAGCTAGCGTCCCTTGTGCCATCTACTAAAATTCATTCTCGTGTTACTCGCCATTCAATTAAGTCTCATCCTTTTTCTGTGACTGTTCCTAAGTACTTCAAAAACTCTTATTCTTCTAGTTTTTTTCCTCGAACATCAGTTCTTTGGAATTCGCTTCCTTCATCTTGCTTTCCTGATTCATATAATTTGCAATCTTTTAAGTCATCAGTCAATCGTTATCTTGCTCTACAGATTTAGTCTTTTCTCTTCCAGTAACTTCCAACTCTTATAGTGGTCACTTGCAGCCTTGTTGGAAGTAAAGATGTTAACAAAAAAAAAATATATATATATATATATATATATATTAAACAACTTAAAATTACATTATTTTTATATATAAATTAAAATTATATATATATATATATATATATATATATATATATATATATATATATATATATATATATATATATATAAATATATATATATATATATATATATATATATATATAAATATATATATATATATATATATATATATATATATATATATATATATATATATATATATATATATAATTTAATATATATATATATATAAAATTTAATATATATATATATATATATATATATATATATATATATATATATATATATATATATATATATATATATATATATATATATATATATATATATATATATATATATAATTTAATATATATATATATATATAAAATTTAATATATATATATATATATATTTTAAACAACTTAAAATTACATTATTTATATATATAAATTAAAATTATATAAATATATATATATATATATATATATATATATATATATATATATATATATATATATATATATATATATATATATATATATATAACTTATATAAGCTTGGTTTCTAATAGTTGTAGAAATGTTGTAAAACAGTTATGCTTTTTTGTTGTACAACCATTGTTGCAGAAATAGATTTAATTCTATTTCCGCAACCTTTGTTTCACAACATAAATTTTGTTGTACAACCGACGTTAAGTTGTGCAACTTACGCTAGGAAATGTTTCTATTATAAAGCATTTCTACAACTATTGGAAACCATGCTATACTGATGTATATTTTAAGAAATTCGTTTGTGAAAATAGTGACAATACATTTTTTCTTTTGTTGATTGTGAACACGCTTCAAAAAGTTTCAATTGAAAGTCATATAACAAATATATTTGTTATAAGTATTGTTTATTGAAACTTTTTTTTTTAATTATTAGTTTTGTTTAGCTTTAATTTTTTTTTATAAATTTATTATAATACTTTATTATAAGCTTAACCGATTCGAAGATATTAGTGCAATTATTTAGTTTATTAAATTATATTTGACAAAAAATATTTTTCACGTTTTTCAACGTTTTAAATTTTATTTGATGTTTTTGAGTTTTATTTTCAGTAGTCATTAATAGAATGTGAAAGAATCTGTTTAAAATGGAAGCTATAAGTGAAACTTTAGCTTGATAAATTTTTTACGCTAGATATTTATTTATAAGATATTTATAAATATTACGCTAGATATTTGTAAATACTGCGCTAGATATTTAATTTTTAACATTTAAGTTTGAAATTTTTATTGAAGCGTTGCAAGTTTTGATATTTTATTACATGGAGTTTTATGCAATTCAAAGTAAAAGTGAAGTTTTTGGTTTGAATATGCTACTGGTAACATGTTACCCAGTATAAGCTGTTTTATGTCCTGCTGCCTTGTAGAACATGTTTTTTTTGGCAAAGAATAGTAAAAGCCAATTCTTATTTAAAACACCTCCTGGCTTGGGGTTCTTGGTTGAGTAAATACTAGAGATGGTGTCTTGATAAAATTACTCTTCTTACGCAGATGTTAAATGCATCCGGCTATGGTCTTGTAGAAGACCTCCTAGGCAAAGACTTAAGGGGTAAACAGATTCATTCAGTTGACTTGCCTCGCACTCCTTCATCTATTAAGCTAGCGTAGATGTACCTATTGTACATTGTTTCTAGTTTAAGAAGTTGAATGCTGGTTTTGCGTGTATGTCTTTTTTTATGACTAGGCAATTCATTCTAGTTTCTCCTGATGAGGGTACAACTCTAAAACTCAGTTTTTTGATTCTAAAGCCTGCTGGTAGTCAGGTTTCCTGAATTCTGTTGTAGAGGCTGATTCCATAAACAGCTGTAAAGTATTAGAATACTAGCTGTATCATGATGCGCATGGATGGTGTTCCCATTTGTACTTTTGGTGTGCAGTGTCGAGGCCACATTTAGAACTCTTTGTTACAGCTAAGGGTTTATTAACAGTGATGAGGCAATTGCTTGGAATATTAAATAGTGTACTGAACACTATTTGTGCTTTGAGTCAAGTTCTCTCACAAATCTTAAGACTGCTTTTTTTTATGTTATTTCTGATCATATTGACCGAGCCCACTGTTTTATCCATCTATTTGTGACGTTAATGGTCATTACACTTAATGGCTTGGCTCTAGTGGCTTGGCTCTTGTTATAGTGTCAGTGACTCTGCACACGTTAAGACCCACAACTTTTTCCTTTCTCAATCTCTAACTCAAATGTAAACTTCCCTAACTCAAATGTAAACTTCTACTAGATATCCGGGTAAATATGAATCATTTACCTTTTCTACTTGACTTTTTTCTTGTTTCTGTTCCTAGTCAGTGCTCAGTTTCTCCTTAGGTGCTTCTGATCACTCTGATTTTTGATCTCTATAAAGATATTATATACGTTGTTCTTCTTCTTCAACAGAATCCCCCTGATATTGTACCTCTTACAATTACCTTAAATCTGACTGGGATTCTTTTTGTGATTTTCTTTGGATGGCTCTGCTGAGAAATGTGCTTCTTATGTGACTTCTTTGATTCAGGCTGGCATGGAGTCTTTTATTTTCTTTCAATGATTCCAAGTCGAGTTACATTCTTCTCCATGGTTTTCCTCACATTGTGCTGCTGCAATTTCCAATCGAAACCATTACTTCTATATCTATCAGCAAAACAATTCTTCAGAAAACAGACATCTATTTACTATTGCTAGAAACCATTGTAAAAAGGTTTGTTTTTTGTCAAAGCCAACTATTCTCAGGTCTTTGGTAAAGATTACTATTGCCATATCTGGGGCGGATCTTTCAATGATTATCTTTCTCTTTTAGACAAAGTGCAAAAGTTGTGAACATTGTTGGAACTACTCTTGCAGCCAACCTCCAAACATTATCACATCATCGTAATGTTTCTTCTCTTTCTCTTTTCTATAAATACTATAAGGGTACTGTTCTAAAGAGCTAGCATATTTAGTAGCATCAACTAAAAATCATTCTCGTTTTACTTGTCACTCAATTAAATCTCATTCTTTTTAGTGACTGTTCCTAAGTGCTCCAAAAATTCTTATTAGTCTAGTTTTTTTCTTCATACATCAGTTCTTTGGAATTCGTTTTCATTTTCTTGCTTCCCTGATTTATATAATTTGCTATACTTTAAGTTGTCTGTTGATCGTTATCTTGCTCTTCTTCTCTCTTTCTCTCTCTCTCTCTCTCTCTCTCTCTCTCATAGATATATATATATATATATATATATATATATATATATATATATATATATATATATATATATATATATATATATATATATATACATATATATATATATATATATATATATATATATATATATATATATATATATATATATATATATATATATATATATATATATATATATATATATATATATATATATATATATATATATATATATATATATAAATACAAACATTCATGGATATATATCAGACTGTTAAAGGAAGCTTATGCGGACAGATGCCTTGTCAGTTTACCTATACAATATTTGCTCAAGACAACTTGACCATGTCTGTTTGCATGTTTAGAATTAAGCTGTACAAAACAAAACAAAAAATACAATACTATCAAAACAAAAAGTTTTCAAAAACAAAAAGTTATAAAAAATTAAACTTTAAAAACAATAAAAAATCATATAAATACTTTGAAAAACCCTTTAGAAAGGGTCCGAAAGTTTTAAGAAGGTTTCAAAGTTATGTGTAAACCTTAAGGTTTAATTATCTTTTGCTTTGTTTACTATGAAGAAACGCTTATTAAAAAGACTAAATGTTTTTTTGTAAAGAAAAAACTTCATTTACTAAACAATGAATAAAATGATTTAAAAAAATAGAATTGACAATGCTAAACATTTAAAATAATAATATATGAGGGCTTCATTATATATATATATTGATTTTCTCATAGTCTGCTGCCTCAAAGGAGTGCTGCTAAATTTAATAATGGTTTGACGTGGGGCCGCAATCTTGTCTTTCATTAATCATTGTTTCTTCTATTTCTGAAAAAAATTTTAAAGTGCACATTTTTAAAATAAGAACGCAAAAATTATAGCACGAAAATTGCGTCCTTAGATTTAAATGACTCTGATATAAAACCTCTTATTTAATTGTTGTTTGCAGGAGATCATAAACCTGATACTTGAATAAAATTGATAAAAATAAAAAAATAAAAATTAGCCTACAGGGAGTACTGATTTAATTTTTTGTTTCTTTATATACAGAGAGCTTGTTGATTTAACAATTTTATTATTGATTTAGTTAACAACAATTTATATAACTGTTTTACAAAATGATATTTTTTAAAACTATTTGTTTAGGTGGGTGATACAGAGATTTTAAAAAACTATTTTTATCGAGATGACGCTCTCCTTATTCATGAAGCTATTGTTAATTATGTCACCGAAATTCTTTCTAGGGTGTATGGTATGTTATAATAGGATATATATCTGCGTCTGATTTTTATTACACATGAAGTTCTGATAATTTTATATTTTTAAATATAAAATTATCAGAAATAAATATTTATAAATTTTTTTTATTTTTGTTAATACTTTAATTCAAGAAATTGAAAATGAAAATATTTTGAATAATTTTAAAAATATTTCAAGATACTCCTGATAAGTTAAAAACTGATTACGAGGTTCAAAATTGGGCAATTTGTTTAAGCGATGAAACTAATGGTGCTGGTATCAAGGTTGGAATTTTTTAAATCATTTTTCTTCTTTTAACATGTTTTTATTAGTCTTTAGATATTGTATCTTTTATAACTATCTATTATTACTATAAATATTATATTAAAATTCATAGTTATGACTTAATAGCAATAAACAGTATAACTATTTGATTTAGTTTCAGCTTAAAAGTAAACAGCATAATACAATACGGCATAGTATTTACAATATAATATAGTATTGTCCAAATGTATAAGTATTAATTACATTCAAATTATGATGTCATATTTTATGATGTCTTTTAAAATTATAGAAAGAGAGATTTTGTTTTGTTTTTAAATAGGTTCCTTGTAGAATAGAAGTTTTTTTAATTATAGACTTTCACTTTTTAAAATTAGTTAAGTTAATGTGAGTCAGGGGCTATTCTAGACCATTTTTGAATGCGCTGACCGTATTTGGGCCTTGCCAAATTAGAAATGGAGGATATTTTTTTATGCAGAAAATATTGTTTTTCTTGCAAAAAATGCCTACATTCAGCGATATTTTTACCTAATATCTTTGGCACAGGGGTACTGCTGCCCAAATTATTTTCATAGAATAGCCCCTAAGAACTTATAAAAAAATTGATTTTTAAAAAAACTGGTTTTCAAATTCTAAAATTCAAAAAAAAAACGGTTTCAACTGGTTTTTGAACTTTCATTAATAAAAATTCATTTGATAAGGAGAAATAGTTAGTTTATATGAAATAACCAAAAAAAAAATCAATATTAAATTCAAAATATAAAAAAAATTACTCATAAAAAAAAACATGTAAATGGATTCGAAATTACACATAAAATGGTATACGCATAACTTACAGAGAGCAACAAAAGCTTTCAAAAACAAAAATTTTAAATTAGGAAGAACATATATATTTATCACTTATCTGAGTTTTTCCTAAAAGAATAGGATTTTAAAAATCCTATTTTTTTAGGAACAATGTTTTAAAAAATGTTTTATAAAATGTTTTAAAAAGTGTTTTAAAAAAAGATGTTTTAAAAAATAAAAAATGCCCATGCGGATGACCTCAGGGGGCCCTAACCTAAATCAATTTTCAAAGCGCAGTTTTGCTAAAAAAAACTATTTTAAATAAAAAAACTTATACTTTATATAGTTTAGAACTGTTTGTTGTGCGCTCTTGTATCTACAATTCTTCAGTTAAGTGTTATGGCTTTTTTATAACTTGATTCTAAAATTCCTTCATGTAAATTAATCTCTAAGCAAACTATAGATGGTTATGCAAATAGAACTTTACAAAACATTAAAAATTCTTTATAATTTGTTATTGTTGAGGAGAATTGTTGTTTAGACAGTACTAAAAACAATTATAAAATAATAAAGTTAGTGATAATAGAATATAATTGGTAAGTATGATAGTAATCCTTTTTATATTTTAACTTTAAATAGTAATTTTATCTTATAGGGAGTTTTTGGTTATGGAAAGTTTGACGATTTAAATGATCTCATCAAGACTGTTGCTAGTGTTATCTTTGTCTGTAGTGTTGGCCATGCTGCTGCTAATTTTTGTCAATATGATGAATATGCTTTCCCATCAAGCTACCCAGCAATGCTAACTGGAAAAATACCTTCCACTAAGGTATTGTCTTTTGTGACCTTTCCATTTTGACTAAACTTTCTTGAACTTAGTCACAATAAAATTTATTGATAGTTTCAGAGAAGGGTAGTCTACCTGTAAGTTAAGAAGACATTTTCAAAAATTGATTATTTGTTAAAATACAGACTTTCACTAATATGTAGATTTTCAATACATATTAGCGTTCTCCAAGAAGTAAAAAATTTATGCATTCAAATCAGATTTTTTTTGAATTTGCCATTTATGGGATAAGTTGTCAGTTGCAGTGGAAATGTTGGCATTTTCTTGAAATTAATATTTTTATGTAAATGATTGACATTTTATTATCAAAATATTAAGAAAATCAAGATTAATATATTATTGGCCATCTGGGCCAATAATTTAATTACTGGTCCAGATAGCCAATTATATAACAATCAGTTTGTACGAGAAAGAAAGTGTTTTTAGAGACATCAACACAGAACACGCTATGTTTGCATATGGCACTATCTTTTGCATAATAAGAAGTGGGTTCTTTTATTATTTTATTTGATATATGAAAATGTTAGAAAGAATAAATACAAATGTTTTCTTCAATATAAAACTTAAATGATCTGGCATGAAGTGCCTCAAAGTCTGAGTTTGATAGGCATTTTAAGGTATTTCTGAACAATCGAAGAGGAAAATGAAATTTATCATTTTTTTTTTTTTTTTATCAGAGACGAATTGGTAAGTGGCTGATTTGCTCCAAGCGTAAGTCAAAATTTTTTTAAATGGAAACCTGAGCAGTAAATTAAATTATTACTAGTAATATTTTCTGATTTTCTGATTCAGACATAAAATTGTTTTATCTGGTATTTCATTTCAGTTTTTTAAAGTTTTTTTTCTTTTCATATATATTGCTTGTTCTGAACAGTTGTTATTTGTGTTTTTGAACCAAAGTTGTTTGTTTAATTTACTAAAATTTGGTAAACATTCACTTTTTTTTCTGTAGAACAACAAAAGTTGAGCTGTTAGTAGTACTAGCTAAAAGCTAAATTACGTCATTTAAATGAATATTATTATATGATATGCACTAAGGTTCATTCTATTCTTTTATCTATACAAGTTAAGCTACTGTGCTTTGTATACCACTGGCAATTTATACTTATTGCAGACTTACTTTGTAAAAAAGTTTGCTAAAAAATAAAAAATTTAATAATATATGAAGTATAAAGTAAAGATAAAAATAAAATATTAACATTTTGCTTTGTTTGATAAATTGTATTTAATAAGTTAAATTTAGTTGATTAATATTATAGTTTGTCATAATGCAATTATTTTAGATTGTTTTATTAAATGCACTTTTTTTCCCCTTAAAATTTTTTATTTAAAACTCATTATTATTGCTAAAGGTTGCTTTGACAATGCAAGATATTATTGATCAGCTTCCAGATAAAGATATCATTTTGGATACAATGGTAGTTACAAAACTGCTTAGTGAAAGGGGTACCAATGAGTTAGGTAACTTTGAGGTTCAATATATGTTTAGACCTGAAGATCTTGCTGCTGTCGAAAGGTTTTTGTTTTTTTATATGTTTTTTTCATCAAATTTTTTTTTTAAATTGTTTTGTTATCATAATACTTTACCAAATATTGTACACATATTTCAAAAACAACAGTACAAACTTAAGAAAAAAATGGGACCAATAAAATTGTTAATAACAATAAACTTTCCCAAGTAACTTAATAAGTATTTATAAGAAATTATTTTACTATTATATTAACAGTTGGTATTAATACCACAGGTTTTTATTATTTTTATATTTATAAAAACTGTTTTATAAAGACTGTTTTATAAATTACTGTTTGTAACACTGTTAAGAAAGTGTTTTTAAGAGATTTTTACAATCTTTGAATTTAAAATGAGCATAATGTTTTGCTATAAAAGAGCTCTTAAAGATTGATCTATAAAATTTAAAAATTAGAATAGTTTAAATTTTGAATATGGTAGTAAAAAAGTATTTAGTCAATACTTGTCCTCATATTTGGGGTAAGTGGGTAAATATGTTTGGGTATTTTATTTCCAGACTCTAACTAGCAGTTTTTTATTGCAAAGCTTTCTTATTTGATACATTCTTAGATGATTAATTCACGTGAGATTCCTTCTTTCTTGCACTAACCATGCAAGAGTAAGCATAACATACATATATTTGAATATGCATAAAATAAATATCTTAATCCAGATTAACGCTTAGAACAAACGTCAATAAAACGTCTATATTCAAATGTGTTTTAGACGTCTATTACAGGATTATTATACGTATGTAAAGCGTTTAGATTTTATCTAATTTACTTTTAAATCTAGTTTAATTAACGTATATAAAGCGTTTAGATTTAGTCTAAGTAAACATATATTAAACTTTTAAATCTTTTCTAATAGCTTCTTTAATTTAGTTAACGTAATTTCAATTTATTTAAGTTTTAAAACTAATATAAATTAAAATTACGTTACAACTTTTTAACTTTATAAAAGTAATAAGAGGTCTTTATATAAGTAATAAGATACGGTTATATAAGTAATGAAATTTATAAATAAAATACAGTTAAAAAGACCTGGTCTTATTTTTTATATTTTTTTGTAACTATTATAATATATTTACAAACTTTTATACGATACTACTTATACTATACTTTTATTTTATAAAACTATATAAAAAGTTGTAAACTTATATAAAACGTTTTCATATAGTGGGGATTTAGAGAAAAAATGTTTGCGCACTATACTTGATTATGTTTGATAAATAAAAAAAGTTTAATCATCAAGCTTTATCTTTATTTTATAAGCTTTATTACAGGCAAATATTTCACTGTTTTATTTGCTTTATGCATTATCAAAAATCTTTCTAGAATACCGTCTACCAATTATTCATCTTGCATCTGTTTGTGCAACATCAACTTCAACATTCGTATCTTAATCGTCTCATTTCGTAACCTGATTTGTAACCGCAAAAAACTGGGGTAAAATAGTTAGCATTTTAAATGTACATTCATAATTCGAAATTGAATTTAAACAGAACAACTTGACATATGGAGGATTTATACCAAATTTTTTTGTACCCTCCATGTTTATTTTAAACATTAAAAAATTAGCAACGTCGCGACATAACATATGCAGTGGGTTTTACTAATTAAATGTAACTAAATTGAGCTAAAATGCATCTAAAATAAAAATTTTAATATTTAGTTATTAAACCTCTTGATTATTGGAAAGATGAATACCTACTGTTAACCAATTATAGCGTTTACAAAATAAATTTAAACTCTCTATAAAATTTACAAAAAAAGATCTTGCAGCAGGACATTCATAACGAGAGATCAGAAACTCATATTTTCAACTGAGTAAATGTCGCTTTCAATAATTTCTAAAACATCGGAGTCTATTGATTTGCTGGCATTTAGGAAAGTAGATTGTCGCGTTAAGAGCTTTTTAAGTTTCATGAATTAAAATGGCGCACCCGAGACTGGATTATTATTTATTTATCAGTCGTTTTGCTTTCAGTTGTTGTAAGTAATTGAATCTTGAAAACGCATTTAGTCTATTTTTATTATTTAGTCAATAAAAAATCGTTGCTTTTTAGTCAATATAAGGTCAAGCATTGATTTTTAGTCAATATAAGGTCGCTAAACATTTTATCCATTTTTAGACCGATTTTGACTAAAGATTGCCCAATTCTGAACCAATCTGTGTTTACTGGGTTGGTAACTGTTATATCAAAGGTTTTTTGTTTATTAGATGGCAGGAAGCCAAAGGCTAATGCCTTTGATTGGTGAAGCAAGGACTATTACTCTTATCCTATAGAAAATTTTCTGATTAAGTTGGATATGTGGCATATTTGGCAAATTATTTTAAATTGTTAAATCATTCCTTTTTAACTGTGTTATTAAAGTTGTCAATGACAACACTCTTTTCTCAAAATTTTTTATGGTATCACGATGTTCCATTCTTAGTCATTACATATTTGGATAAGAATATATTTAGTAATATAACTGCATAATGCAGTTGTGGGAGTTGCCCATGTCAAGCAAGTTTAAAAATTATAAATTCATAAGCTTATAGAAACTTAACTTATTAATTAAACAGAAAAACAAAACAAAAAAGTTTAATTTTAAAATTTCAGAACTTCGTTTGTTTGTCAACTTTATGTGAACTAAAGAGTATTGTTCAAATATTTTAAATTAAATTTCAGCCACTTTTAAGAAATATTTTTAATTATGTTTTTAAAATTTTACAATAAACTTTATTGTAACAGTAAAACTAAATTACTCATTTTAATTAAAACATTATTACAAACAAAATTTCTTAGAATTTACAAAAATAAGTCGAAAGAAAAGGACCCCATATTTAGTATACATGAGTTAATCTTTCTATTCACTCGAAGTCGTTTTCAATCACAATTTAAGAAATGTGGCACCCACGTGCATAAAGCTAACTTAGGCCTAGCACATCTTTCAATATATGAAGAACTCGCTCAGTTAAGATATATATGGTCTCAGAACTCAAGGTTAACGTTCTATTATTCAAAACTATATCACGAATAGTATCAATCAATTTGTCAAAAATCACACTTTTTGATCGTCCTGAATGAGGATCATCTTCTAGGCTTGTGCGACCACGTTTAAATTCTAATGTCCACTTACAGACCATTGTTTTAGATGGAGCAGCATCCCCTTGGAAATTTATATTAAAATGGTGAACACATTTATTATTTCAATATAAATTTCTATTGCATTTAAACCTCTTTTCACTTAAAACTCTATTACCGCACGATGTTCAATTTTTTCAATGAATAAATTATGTTGACGCGTCTAGCATCAAGTCTAACATTAAAAGCATGTGAAATTGTACCTCTATCAACAAATTAAAGTCTTAACTCCACGAACTTTTAAACTAACCTATTATAATCATGAATTTCGTGGTCTTTTTGATGAAATTGCTCACAGTTTTTAAAAGTAGAGGTTGTTCATTGACAGCTTAAAAAGAAGTATAAAGGCAGTTTTGCTAAATAACGGAAATCAGTTTCCTTCAATTCAAGTAGCTTATTCAGTTCATCTAAAACACAAGAACAAGAAACTGCTGATTGAAAAAATCAACTATTACAGTTGTTAGTGGGATGTTTACGGATATTTTCTAACGCTAGTGTTTCTTCTTGGTTTACAAGGAGTACACACAAAGGACTCTTATTTTATTTATTTATGGAATAGCAGGGAGCTATGGATCAGTACTTTATAAGACGGGAGTGGCCAATAAGAGAACATTTACATTCTGGTTCGCAGAGTATTGTAAATCAATCTCTGATATGAAATGCAAAAAAAAAGCTGCATAACCTGCATTAACAGTTAGAATTTTTAATACCAATTTTGGGTGATGCGAATGAAGAAAAACGAGAACCTTTTCATCAGAATACTCTATAAATGGAGAAAAAATACGAAGGCAGATGGGATGCAGCTATAATGGGTGACTACATCTGGCGTTTGGTAAGCTATGAGAACAAATTTCATGAAAGAAAACCTACTTCTAGTTTTTAAGATTTTACGAGAATATAACATTACAACATGTAATTTTGTGTAATATATGTAAGTAACGTGATGTAGTATTATGTTTTGTAATAACAATTTTGCACTAGTAAATGCTATCTACTCACTAAAGGTATATCTTTTGCAATTCGATTGGTATAAGTAATATGGGGCACCAATTATGGTACCCCATCTTCTACACTAG